CCCGTGGCAGGGGGTTGGAGCTGGAGGAGATTTAAGCTCCCTTCAACACAAACCAGGCTGGGATTTCATGATTCTATGAAAAACATCCTCCTGTGTGCTGATGCCTTAGTGAAGCCCATTCCCATCCATCCCACAAGGGCTCTGTCCTCATCCCTGCAGGTGGCTGAGACATGTCAGTTGGCAGTGAGGAGGCTGGAGTGGCTGCAGGAGAACAAGCAGAACCTAGGCAGCAGCCCCTACCTCTCTGTGGATCCTGCGCCCCCTGCGGAGGAGACGGATGTCACCAAACTCCGTGAGACCCTCCTGGACGAGTCCCAGCCACTGTTCGACCGCTACAGAGCCATGTTTGCCCTGCGGAACGTAGGGGGCCGTGCTGCTGTGCTGGCACTGGCGGATGGTGAGGGCAGGCTCTGTGCTGTAACTCTCTATAGGTTAATCCAGGATAAGCCTTTCCCAAATCCAGAGCTTTGCGGCTCCTTTTGGGCTCATCACCTGTGTGTTTCCAGAGCTGCTGCCCCCTGCTTGCTGCAGGAGCCACATTGCAAAGCACTTGGTGCTCTCTTGTGTTTCACAGCCCCTGTAATGTCCTCCTTTGCTCCGTGGGTCCGGGTGAGAGAAAGCACAGGCTGTAATATTGGCCAGGCACCAACCAGTCTCACCAGATGTTTCTTGGTAGGACCTGGGCCCTGCTTTCAAGTGCAGGGGAAGCGCTTGAGGCTCTCCAGCAGTCTGGGACAAGCAGGTAGTTCCTGCTGCAGCTCTTCAGCCCCACAGCATGGCAGGACTTGAGCTTGAGATGCCATACCCCTCAGGCACCTTGTGCTGGTGGAGCAGGGTCCATGGGCAGGCAGAGGGGACAGCAGCTCCATCACAAGAGGATCTCTCTGTGCCAGAGCTGCTGTGGCCATGCAGGCTCGGAGCACGTGGAACACCCCTTCCCATAAGTATTTTGTCCCCTTTTACTGTGGTCTGTGGAAGCGACAGCCAGCTCTAACACCCCAGGTGTGCTCCCCATGGCTTTGGGGTTGGGTGTGGGGCTCTGACTACACAGCAGTGCCCTTCGGGGCCGTGGCAGCTCACTCTGTGCTCTCCCCACAGGACTGTGCTGTGGCAGTGCCCTGTTCCGCCACGAGATCGGTTACGTGCTGGGCCAGATGCAGGACGAGGCCTGCGTCCCGCAGCTGACGGCTGCGCTGTGCAGCCTCACCGAGAGCCCCATGGTGCGCCATGAGTGCGCTGAGGCACTGGGCGCCATAGCCCACCCCTCCTGCCTGCAGACCCTGCGCACCTTCGCCTGCGACGCCGAGCGCGTGGTGCGCGAGAGCTGTGAGGTGGCCCTGGACATGTTCGAGTACCAGAGTGGGGACCAGTTCCAGTATGCTGATGGGCTCTGCAGGCTGCAGGCCTCGGCCTGAGCCCCAGCTCAGGGAGGCACAGGATGGGGATGCTGCTCTCTCCCCACCCCAGCAGCACTGTCATGGCCCCTTCCATAGATGTGGATCCATGCCTTGCTGTGGCAGAGGTGGAGGATGAACTGGATTCACTATCTGGCACAATTACAGCTGCATTCTCCCTCCAAATCCGGGCTGAGCTGGTAATTGTCTTTCTCCCACCACCTTCAGTTTCCTGGATCTGCCTCTTTTTTCCCTGCTTACCTGCAGCCTGGCTCAGGGCTGGGACCAGGTGGGCTCTGTTCAGCATGTCGGAGCCTGTTGTGGCTTTATGGGGCCTTGGGGCTGCTTTGGGCTTGTGCTGCCATGGTGGCTCCATGTGGAAAAGCTCTGCTTTCCCTGGAGCTTTGCTGGGAGGCTGGGGCTGGCTTTGGGCACTCGCTCTGGAGGTTGTAGGGATGGAATGCCTCAGAATCACCTGTGGTGCTGGTGCTGAGCCACATCCCTCCTTGCCTCTGCAGTGGAGGAGCTGTGTGGGTTTGGCCTGACCTGTCAGGGCAGGCTGGGGCTGTGCTTGCCACAGCCTTTGCCCTGTGATGGGGGTTGTTTCATGGCAGAGTTTGGAAGCCTTGGCTGTGCTTTGCTCTCTGCAGGGAGCGCCGCTGCCATCGGGGCTCCAGGGTGAGGCAGAGCCTGCCCGGACTTCCCCCCACATTCAGCCAGACCTGGAGGGGGCTGAAGCTGGGGTTTGCTGCTGTCACCCAGCACCCCCAGGCAGCTGCTGTGGGCACAGGGCTTGGCTGGCAGGCAGCAAGGTGCTGGCAGCAGGAGCTCCAGCAGGAATCCAGTGCAGTGCTATAGCCTGTGCTCTGGTGTGGGGAGCTCCGCCAGTTCCAGCCCCCTGCCACAGGCCCGGACACCTTCCATTAGAGCAGGTTGCTCCAAGCCCCATCCCTTGAACACTGCCAGGGATGGGGCATCATCTACAACTTCTGTAGGTAACCCATGTGCTCCCTGCAAGTCAGACCTGTGTGTCCCAGTGATGCAGATGGGGTCACCTGTGTGTGTCATGGAGACTGAAGCCCACCAAAGCTCTCTCTGTTTCTCAGCACTACAAAGACGTGACATTATTACAGTTTTGGAGTCAGCAGCTCCCACCCTTTGCTCTCCACCATTCCCTGTCCAGGTTCACTTGGGCCATGCAGGGTTGTTTCTAATTCTGCACCACCATTTGCCTCTGCTCCCCCCAAGGGCCGTTTAAGCCCAAGTTGGAACAAACCTGGCATTTTTGCAGCCAGAATCTGGCCAGGGGTGAGCTGGGTGCAGCAGGGCCGGGCTCCAGTACAGCAGCTCATCCCAGTACAGCCCAGTGCACCCCGGTGTGCCAGGGCAGAGCAGGACCTGGGTGTTGAGTCCTGACTTGGAGCTGAACCTCATGGACACCTTCACACACGCCCCCCCCCCCGGCCAGTGCTGGGTGCTGCTGCACCCCGTGGGCCCCCTTGGAGTCGGGATGTGGTGCCCATCACCCTGCCCATCGCCGCCTGGCGCAGAGGTCGCCGCATCCTTTGCCTGCTCCCAGCATCTTGCACAATCTGCCCGTGGGACCCAACCAAGCCCAGGGGATTGGGAGGGGCTTTGGGCTGCGTCTGTCGTCCCTCCCGTCCCTGCTTTTGGGGGTTCTTCAGCTGAGGGGGACTCCCCACTTCTGGGGAGATGCAGGGACCTGTGGAGCTGCTGGGGGGCAGATTCGGGATACCCTGGGCCATGTCACAGCTCCCCAGCCCCCCTCAGGTGGAGCCCGCCAGGGCTGTGCCTGGATTAGCGGGCGCTAAGCTCCTTCCCATGGATGCTCTGTCCCTTGGTGACTGGGGGGAGCTGTCGATGGCCCTGGCGGGGGGGACCCCACTCCCCAGCCCCAGGGGGGCCTGGGGGCTGCGGCACTTGCTGCAGTCCCCCCCTGAGGAGGACGGGGTGCTCTATGTGGAGTACAAACCCCCTGCCCTGGACAGCATCCGCCTGCCCCGCTATGTGCTGTACCTGATGATGGCGGCCACCCTGGTGCTGCTGGTGGCCTACGCCATTGTCGGCCACCTCATCAAGGACCTGGTGCATGATTTTGCTGGTGAGTGCTGGCTGCAGCGAGGGCGGGTGAGGGGCTGCATGAGGTGGGTCACCCAGAGCCTTTGCTATGGGGCTGTGCTGCTGACAGCTCCATTTCTGCCCCCCAGATTGGGCGTTCGGGCCCAAAGCAGAGGAGGAGAAGGTGGTGATGGCCAAGAGGACGGTGCCGGAGGTGGTGTGGCTGGAGGAGGATGGGACCCTGGGAGAGAGGGAGCTGGAGGGCGAAGGCACAGGAGCGGTGCCGGGCACGGACATCGCGCTGCGCCTGCTCCCGTCCACCCCGCGCAGCTCCATCTCCTTTGCCGACTCCCACAAGAAAAGGCTGTTCTAGAGCTGGGGGATGCCCCGTTCCTGCCACCACCAGCGCCCCAGAGCCCTCCCTGCAGCCGGGTCTTCCTGCAGCCCTACAGCGCTGCCTCAGGGCTGCCACCGCTGCCCGCAATAAATGCTCCTGCCCTGTCCCTGCTCGCCTGCCCCTTTGTCGTGCGCATGGGGAGGGGGCAGCCCTGGGACACCCTGACCTGGGGACAGCAGGGACGTTCCCTGTGCTGGGCACAGGCGTGTAGGGAGAGGCGTGTCTCTTGCACGCATGTGGGGGTGTGAAGGGGATGCGAAGCCCTGGCATGGGCGCAGGGGCATGGGTACACGCATGATCATGGACACATGGGCACATGCACAAGCAGGGAGGCCGATGTCAGGGTGACCGTGTGTGCAGAGGGACAGAGAGATGCTGAGGCCGGGTTTGTTCCCGCTGGCCCCCTGACCCTGCCAGGCTGGGCCCTTTCCTCATGGGGCACCCACAGGTGACACCCAAAGCCGGTCTTGGGGGTGCAAAGCTGCAGGTTGGGGCACTGGGGATGGGGCTGCCTTGTCCAGACCCCCCCCCACTTTAAACCCAGGCTGGGGCTGCCCCCCCCCCAGCCCCCTTTCAGCAGGGGCCCTGTCCCCATGTCCCTGCAGGGGTTGCCATGGGCAGGGTACCCTCAGTCCGTCCCTGAGGTGCTCCCAGGCACCCCATGCCTCCATGTTTCCGTGTCCTGGTGGGCGGGGGCTGCACCCTGCCAAGGTCTCCCGATAACACCGTTAATGTTTAGCTCCCCGTGGTACTGGGTGCTCCCCAGGGACATGACTGGGTCCTGCCAGCACCAGCCAATGCATGTGGGGCATAGATGGGCCTGAGGGGGGCTGCAGCTGGACTGGCACTACCCGTGTGTGTCCCCCTGTGCTGCTCTGGCCCCCCAGCATGGCAGGTGGGGGGCTGTGTCCGTGGGGATGGAGCAGTGACCTGGATCTGCCCCAGCTGGGACAGGGTGTGCAGCACCCCATGGGTAGAGGTGACAGACTGGGATGGGGCACTGGGCCTTCCTTCCTTCCCTCCTTCCGTCCATCCACCCATGCTGGACCCCAGCACCCACAGACCCGTGGCAGCACCAGTGTCGGTGCCACCTCCCGAGGAGCACGTTGCTGTGGTGTTGGTGGCACTTGTCCTCTCGAGTGCAATAAAAGCCGCTCCTTGGCCCCGGGTGCACAGAGCAGCGCCCGCACTTGCCCGTCACCAGCTGTGGGACAGGACCCACATTGGGGTGCAGGATCCGGACTGCTGCAGCCCTTTGCTGACCTCCCACCAAAGATGCTGAGGGCCTGGCAGCCCCGCTCACTCCTGGTCCTGCTTGTGCTGGCCGCCACCGCCTGGGGACAGGACGGTAGGTGCCCCCATACTGCCCATCTCCAGCAGGACCAGTCTGCAGTGCCCTGGCAGCGACCACTTTGGGGGCAGAGCAGAGACTTGAGGGCACCCACCTGCTGCCCCCAGTGCTCCCTGCTGTCCCTGTGCTCTCCTGGGGACAGGTTGGCTGTGGAGGGTGGCACAGGCCAGATGGTGGGGAGCGGGTGGCGAATGTCTGGGACCCTGTGCCGTGGGATGGGGAGTCCGGCCCCTGCAGGATGGGGCTCCTCTGAAGCTCTCCCCATCCCTGGCTGTGCAGGCATTGGCCCCAAGCAGCTGCAGCCCTGGCTCGTCGGCCTCACAGCCGTCGTTGTCTTCCTCTTCATCGTCTTCATCCTCCTCCTCGTCAACCGGCTCTGGAAGCTCCGGATGCGCAGGTTGGGGGGTGCTGGGCCGAGGCGGGGGGCGGCCATGCCCGAGGCCGAGTGCAGGAGCTGCAGGGACGGGACAGGGCGTCCCCGGGCTCCGCTCACTTCTCTATCCCCTCCCAGGAAGCAGGGCGGCCTCCAGGACACCCCGTGGACCAGCAGGTACCATGGGCCGGGCTCTGCGGGGCTGCCACGGGCCTTTCTGTCGGGGCCTCGCTGGCCTTGAGCACGGCCTCGCACGGCCTTGAGCCCGGCCCGAGGGCACGGTGGCTGCCTTGTGCGCTATTTACCGTCCCTCCCGGCAGGCTGGAGCGCACCGGCTGCGTCAACCCTGCGGCAGAGAAGGGCAGCGGCGAGGAGAGCGACGGCGAAGGGCAGAAGAAAGCCACGCCGCTGTGAGCCGGGGCCGGCGCCAGGCCCCCCGCGCCGGGCATCGCGCCTCGACCCCAGTCCGCAGGGCGCGAATCCGCGCCGGGTTTTGCGGATGCGGCCGCGGGACGGGAGGTGTCGTGGGGCGGCTGCGGCTGCAGCCACAATCCGGGGTGGATCCGCCGCAGGAGTGGATCCGGGAGGGCAGCGCAGGGACCCCCCGCGCCCTCCACCCCTGCATCTGGCTGGTCCCCGCGTGGCGGGGGGCAGCTGAACCCTAGTAAAAGTCCCCACTGTCAACCGTCTGGTGTCACTGCGCCGGGACGGGGCTTGTGGGGCTGCCCCACGCCTCGGGGGTGTCACAGGGACACCGGGGACCCCCTGGGTGGGGCGGGGCCAGTGGGGATCCCCAACTTGGGCCAATGACATCACACCGGCGAGGCGATGACGTCACTTGAGCAAGGCGGTGGCAGTGGGACCCAGCAGCTGCAGCCCCTGTGTCCCCTATGGACTGAGCAGGAGGGGGCGATGGGCACCCACTGCCCGCCATGACTCTGCTCCAGTGAACTCCAGGGCACCCCAGTGAACTCCAGGGCACCCCAGTGGTCTCAGGGCACCTCGCTACAGATCAGTGCATCCCAATCCACTCCAGTACAGCTCAGTGCACCCCAGTACATCCCAACAGGGCCTAGCACAGCTCAGTGCACCCCAGTACAGCCCAGTGCACCCCAATCCACCCCAGTACATCCCAGTGCTCCCCAGTACCTCCCAGTACATTCCAGTATAGCCCAATATACCCCAGCGCACCCCAGCGGTGCCTTGGTGCCGGTGGCAAAGGACGAATGGAGGCGGGAGGGAGTTGAAGCAGAGCTCGTTTAATGTTTGTACATTTTCTGGCTTTTGTCTTTTTTTAATGATTTTTAATTTTTTTCCTTTTTTTTGGCTTTTTTTTTTTGCTTTTCCCCGTGTCAGTTTTGTTTTGTTTTGTTTTCTTCTTTTTTGTCTCTTTTTTTTTTTTCTTTGCATAGGGGGGAGGGTAGGAAACAACCGAAAAAACCCAAAACCCAACCAAAAAAAAAAAAAAAAAGAAAAAAAAGAAACAAAACAAACAGAACCCCCAACACCCCCACCCCCACCCTCCCCCGCGGCGGGGATCGGCAGCGGCTGCGCGGCGGGAGAACCGAGTATCGTGATGCACCGGGGGGGGGTCCCGAGGGGTCCCGGGGGGTCAGTAACGGCTGCGGTGAAGCAAGAAGCGAGAATCCGGCTGCTCGGGGGGTACAAAGTGGGGGAGAGCGGGAGGGGGAAGGTTTGGGTGCAGGGGGGGAACGGAGGGGGTGCGGAGGGTAGGATCCCCCCAAAAGGCGGTGGGGCAGCCGGTAGCGCGGAGGCACTGCGGCAGGTTTTTGGTTTGTGAGGGGGGCCCCGGCTGCCCCCCGAAAGGCGCCTTTTGGGGGGGTCCCTCCTTCTGCCGCTATTTGGGGGGTGGGGGGTGTTCCCCCCCATTACACACACACACACCCTCCCGGGCTCCACCTCCGCTCCCGCCTGCCCGCTGGCACCGTTGGTGCTGCAGGGGGGATACCCCAGGGTGCTGCATGGGGGCATCCCCGTGTGCTGCTGCACGGGTACCCATGGGTGCTGCAAGGGGGCATCCATGGGTGCTGCAGGGGAGACACCCATAGGTGCTGCAGAGGGGTATCCCCGGGTGCTGCAAAGGGGCATCCATGGGTGCTCCCCCGACCCGCAGCAGCAGCACTTCCAAACTCAAGAATACGAGAAAAACAAACCCAAACCAGAAACAAACCGACAACGGACACGCCATATATATATAGCGGGGTATGTATATATATATATATAGTGATATTTATATATATATATTTCTTTGCGCTTTAAAGTACCTTTAGGTGCGTGCGGCCCGCAGGGCCCCCCTGTCCCGCCGCCCCATATATATATATGTGTGTGTGCGGGGGGGGAGCTCCTATGTACAGCGTTATTTATAGGGCACGAAGACTATTAACTAACGGTTGAAGCCGACGAGCCTAAAAAAACCCTCGAGGAGAGGCTGTAGTGCACGAAACCCCCCCGGGGGGGGCCCTGGTGATTGTCGAGCGGACCCCTCCCCTTCTTCCCCCCATTTTATGGGATCCCTTCCCATAAGCAGCCCCAGTGATGGGGGGATCGTATGTGGATCCTCTCCCACCTCGCTTTGCGCCCACCCCCGCAGTGGGGTGGGGGGCTTGGAGGGGGTTAAAAACTAAAAGGGAAAACAATTAAAATAGAAATAATAATAAAAATTAGTGGTGCCTCCCCCCCCCCGCTTCCCCCACTCCGAGAGCTCGGGGGGGGGGGTTGCATATTCCCTTTGGGGGGGTGGGGGAGAAGTGCAAAGTCCCCGGGGCGTGGGGGATTGTGGCTCCCGGACCCCCCCATAGGAAGCCTCATCCAGCCCCCCCCGCTGGGGGGGGATGTCAAGGTGATGATTTTTTGCCTTGATTTAACATGTTTAAGGTGCTTTTCTTGCCGAGGGAGGGTTCTGGGGGGGCCGCAGCCGCTGGGCTGGCCCCGGGCAAAGGCAGCAAAAGGGGAGAGCCGGGGGCTTCCGGGGAGGGGAGGGGGGGGCAGACCCGAGGGGCGCCAGCGCTCCTCACCTCCTCCCCAGGCCCCTCACATGCCGGGGGGCTGCCCCGGGGGAGTTTCTCCCTCCCTCCTGTCACCGCTGCAAAAAACACTAATTTTTGTATTTTCCAATCCTTTTTTGAGCCTTAAAACCTTAAAACCCTCCTTTTGTCTCATCTTTTTTTCCTTTTTCCCCAATTTTCTTTCTTTTTTCATTTTTTTGTTTGTTTTGTTGGGTTTTTTTTTGTTTGTTTTTTTTTTACTTTCCCCTAAATTCCATTATTTCAACATCTCTCCCCCCGCTGGACGCTGATCCCCCCCCCCCACCGCCTTGCATTGTCCTTGCAGACATCAACACTGCACCTTGCATCAGGAAGTGTCTCCCACGGATGTTCCCCTTGGTGGGACCCCAACAAACCACACCGGGGGCGGGAAGACCCCCCCTACTTTTCCCCCTTCGTCCCCCAGTAATACTTTTGGACACACACATACACAAAAAAAAAAAACAACAAACAAAAAACACCACCAAACTATCAAAAATGTGAAAAAAAGCCCCAAAATGTTCACGAAGCAGCGCCGCCGCGCGGTGCCGCCCGCCCATCGGTGTCACAAGCCGCATCAGGCCTCAGCCTCAGCAGGGCTGGGGGGGAGGGGGGTGTCTCTCCGGCCGGCGGGACGGTGGGTTTTAAGGCAAAATCTGGATTTTTTGGGGGTGTCAAGCCCCCGCTCGGTGGTTTTGCACAGGTGAGAGGAAACCTCTTGGTCTGTTCCCTCCTGACCCCCCAAGATGAGGCCAATGGAGATCGATAGGGGGGCCTGTGACCTGTGACCCTCCCCCGACACCAGCCCTTTTTTTTTGGGGGGGGGGGAAGGGGCACAGCTACATTCACACGGTTCTATTCCTGTCACAAGAGCTGCTGGGCTCAGCCCTCTTGGCCTTGCACCCCATTAAAAACCAGTTCAAAAGGGGGAGGTCAGGATGCTGCCCCTCCACCTCACAAGGGCTCAGCCATGAAGGACCCCAACTGCATCCTCATCCATCTTGCCGTGGCCAGACCCAGAGCACTGGCAGGGTCCAGGCCCGGGGGGGGGGTTTAGGGGGGTGCTGCCTCCCACCTCGCTGCCTTTGGTTGCTGGAAGCCAAAAACCAAAAGAACCCCCTCAAAAGGGAAGGAACCCCCCTCAAAAAGAGGCAAAGCGGGGGGGTGGGGGGGGAGCTATTGCATATTCCGGTGTGTTGGCGCAGAGGGTGCATCAACTGGAAGACGTTTCCAAAGGGGAGGAAAATGGGTTAAAAAAAATAATAACAATATAATAATAATAATAATAGTAAAAGAGAGAAAAAGGGGATTTTTCCGGCCAAGAAGAAGCCATGCAGGAGGCGGGGGGGGGGCCCCGGGCATGCAGTGGCTCCCGCACCCCGGCACCGGGCCCGGTAATACTGAGGCTCCGAAGGCAAAGGCACATCTTGTGGTAGAAAACTTCGTGCAAATTAGGAAAACATGGATTTGTTTGGTTTTTTTTTTGTTTGTTTTTTGTGTTTTTTCTTGCTGTTTTTTTCGGGTTTTCGCCCTTTTTTTTCTTTTATACAGATTTTTTTTGTTTTTTTTGTTTTTTTTTTTTTTGGGTTTTGTTGGTTTTTTTTTCCTCTTTTTCTCTGTTGCTGAGGGGAAGGTCGAGCCGGTTACACTCTGCCATGCACAGCATCGCCGGCACGGCGGGGCCGAGCCGGGTCGCCAGGTCCTGGTAAAGCACCATGCACTTATGGACAGGGGGTTTTGTCCGTTTTGTTGGTTTTGTTTTTTTTTTTTTTTCCTCCTCTTTTTCGTTGTTTTTTTTTTTTTTTTAATGCTTTTCTCAGTTCTGTAAAAAATAACCCCAAACGAAAGAGGGCTCCGTTGCCACCAAGTGCTTCTTTTGCTGTTTTCTCTTGTTCTCTTGCGGGTTTTCTCCTTTTTCTTCTCGTTTTGGATGTCTTCTCCTCTCCAGGGATTTCCTCCATCCAGCCCTTTTCCTTCCCGCGGGAGCCGAGGGAGGGTTTGGCGGTGCCCTCGCTGCCATCCCGCACACCCCACAGTGGCTTTCTCTCCATCACCCCCGTGGGCTGTCCCCTGCGGCGCCGGGGGGAAACCTCAGTCTGCTCCGGAGGGACACCGGGGGTCTTCCTCATCTGCCTCCTCCCCCGCGCGGGATGGGGGCTTCCTCCAGCGCTTCCCCACACAGTGAGGGGGATCTTTAAGGGGGTTCTCTGGGTCCGTGTCCCTTCCACCACAGCGGTTCAGGCACTTGGCGCAGGGTGCTGGGTGCAGAGGGGGCTTTGGGGTGCAGGGGGGTTTGGGGGTGCGGGGCTGCTTTGAGGGGTGCGGGGGGGGGGGCTCTGCCCTTGGCGTTAAAAAAAGAAAAAATTCCAAAAAACCCCAAAGCAGCCAAAGGCCAGGCCGGGGGCTCTGTTTCTTCCTCCTCTTCGTCCTCCTCCTCCTCCTCCTCCTCTTCCTCCTTTTTTGTAATTTTTTTTCTTTTCTTTTTCTTTCTCTTTTTTTTTTTTTTGACCAATCCCTCTTCAAAGTGCATTTCCTACAAATGTGCAACACAATCGCACCCCCCCTCCCCCCCGTACCTGTCCACAGGAATGCATAGCTCAGACACACGGACATGTCCCCTCATCACAGCTCCCCCCGCCCCCCCGGGGTGGGGACACGTGTGGGAGACACGGGGACACAGTAGGGGGGGAGACGGGAACCCCCAGCCCCCTTCCTCCTGTGAAAGTCATGACAAGCCAAGGCCCAGCCACTGCAGCACCACGTCACCGTGTCACCCCGGGCTCCCCTGACAGTCTGTGTGCGGCCGGGTGGGGGGACGGCGAAAGGGGGTTTGATCGATTCTACTCACATGGAGGCAGGACCGAGCGAGTCGGCAGCCGCTGGGGCTCAGGCGCTGCAGGAGCATTGCTGGCACAAGTTGTGTCAGGTCTCAGCGTAGCGCCGGCCAACGGGGGCAAAGAATAGTGTTTTTTTTCTCTCTTTTTTTTTCGTGCGTGTTTCTTTGTTTTCCGGGGGTGGGGGAGGGAGTTGGGATCCTCCTGGGTTGGGGGGGGGGGTGTTGTTTGTGTGGGTTTTTTTGTTTTCCGTTTTGAAAAAGTTTGACCCTTTTCCTTCTTCCTTTCCCTCGCTCTTTCCTTCGGGTGTGGGTTTTGCTTGTCGTCGTCGTTGTCGTCGTCGTCATCGTGAGTCCACGCTCTCCGTCGTCACCACAAGGCTGGGCCTGGTGCTCAGGGATGTTCCTCTGGGGGTGCCTAAAGCAGAGAAGGGAGGCGAAGGAGCGGCACGGCGGCGGTTATCCCAGGTACCAGGACTGCCGGGAGAGAGGAGAAAGTCTGGAATTACCCAGTGTCCCCACGCTGTCCCCGTGCTACCCTCACTGCCCCATCCTGCACCGAGTTCACTCAGTGCCCCCCCTCTCCCCCCGTCCTCTTCAGTGGCCAATGCGATGCTCCGCAGGGAAAGCATCCTGCTTGGGGACAAGCAGAGGGGTGGCAGAACAGGGGACCCCGCGGGGTGGCCCCTACCACCCTCCCGTTGTCTCTCCCCCCCATCTCCAGCCCCAAGTTCAAGTTCATTCCCGATTACCTCATGTCTGGTTTCCGTTGGCAACCAGACATCTCGGAGCCGTTGCTTCCCTTAACCCTTCCCAGCCCCACCACACATGGCCAGAGAGAGCAGGTCTCAGCCACCTCTCCCGGGAACATGGGACACTCGTTTTGTCCTCACTGTGCTTCAGTTTCCTCAGGCAGAGCATCCTTCTGCCCTGGGGAGGCTCCTGGAGTGCATCCGAATGCACATGCACAGGGACATGGGCAGTGACCCTCACAGGGTTTGGGGTGCAGGGACCCTAGCACCCCGTGTCTCCTCTTTAGGGATGCAAAAGCCTCAGGGTGCCCACCCCACTCTGTCCTTCGGAGAAACTGAGGCACGGCACTCTGGCCAGAGCCAGACCCCAGTGTTTGCCACCAGCAACTGCACAGCATGCCTGAGGTGCCCCAGCTCATGGGCCCTGAGCATTGTGGCACAGCACAGCACACTTGGGTGCCCCACGGAACGGCTCAGCCCCCCAGGTCCTCACTTCCCCCATGGCGCCATCTGCACTCCATCCCGCTGCATCCTGACACTGCCTCGAGGAGACCACTGAGGCTGTGCAACTTGGAGCACAAGTGAGGCACAAGGTGCTAGCACTGGCCCATGGCACTGCCCACGGTGCCTCACCCACAGCCGATTAAACACACCCCGCATCAGTGAAGATTCCTCGGAAGGGCACATGCCACATCCTACCACGGCTGGAGCAGGAAGGGCAGGCTGTCTGGGTCTGCCTGGGGAAGGGACACACGGCCCCAGTGCCCCGCGTGCAGGGATGCTCTGGGTGGTGCCAGCTGTGGACATGGCAGGGACCTCCCACTGCCATGGGGAACATTTGGTAGCCACAAGTCACCAGAAGCACCTGTGGCCATGGCTTGGGCACCAGCTGGGGATTCCCATGGTGGCAATCCCAAGGTGGGGATGCCATGGTGGCAATACCCGTGGTGGGGATACCCATGGTGGCAATGCCCATAATGGAAATACACACAATGAGGACACCCACAGCGGCAATGTCAAGCCAGCAATGCCCAAAGCAGTAGCGCCCACAGTGGCAGTGCCGTGCTGGTCATGCTCATGGCAGCAATGCCCACAGCAGCGATGCCCACCACTGCAGCAATGCCATAGTGGAGACACCCACAGCAGTGATGCCTGCGACGGCCGTACCCACAACAGCGATGCCCACAATGGCGATGCTATGACGGCGGTGCCCAGGGTGAAGGCAGGAGGGTCCCCCCCACAGCATCCCAGCTCTCACCTGTGCCTGATAGATACTCCCAGGATCCCTTGGTCCTAATCCCACGAAGGAACGGTTCGCAGGGGGCGTGCCTGGTGCAGAGTAGGCTGGGGAACAAACGAGAGCTCATTAACGGGGCTGCCGGTGGCATTGCCATTGTCCCGCTGCTGCCTGGCACTGCTGGGACAGGCGTCCCAGGCACATGGAGCTGGCAGCAGGGCAATGTCCCTGGTGGTGTCCTGGCAGTACATGGAGGTGAGGGATGGTGTGCCTTCTGTGTCTGTGCCCCCTGGAGGGGTGGCTCTGTGGTGATGGCTGGCTGGGGGGCACCCTTGGGGTGCCAGTGCAGTACTGTGGGGCAAGTGCAACAGGAGCTACCAGCTCCACTCGGCCACATCACCCCATTACCACCTCCACCCCCAGGTAGGCAGGGGTTCAGCAGTGGGACCCTCAGCTCTGCTGAGCTCCTGAGACCCATCAGGAGCAGGGGGGGGGGGGCGCTCAGAGCTAGCTGGCCTCTGTGCTCCTTGGGGACACCCAGTGTGCATCCTTCCCTGAACCAAGGGGAGACTGGCACTGCCCAGTCCCTCCCTGCGAACACGGTCCCATCACTGGCTGGGCCACACCAGCCACAGCTCTCCCCTCCACATCATGCCATGTAACCTCCATACCAATACCATCCAGCTGTGGCCTGTCTCCAGGGACGTGGCAGCCTCTCTGGGTACCAGGAGTCCCATGGATACAGCAGGATGGTGACAGGGACACTCTCGTCGATCATGGTGATGGCACACCATGGTGATGGTAGCAGTGTCCCACCACTACAGCACATGCCCTGATGCCAGGCTGGGGGTGACACCAGCGTCTCCCCTTTGTGACCCCAAACTACTCCTGGCCAAGGCACTGAGGCCATCTAAAGGATGAGCTTGTCAGCGACCACTGCTAAGGAAGGGTCCCCCAGGGGCTCTTCAGGTGCCCTGCACCCAAGTCACTTCGCAGCCCCTGATCAAATGAGGGACCCCATGCTGGGGACCCTGGTGGCAGAGTGAGGACGGCAGCCCCATGCAGCACAGTCCAGCACCCTTCCACCACCGCAGCCATTCAGCCGGCCCCTGCCTCACCAGCAGCACCACCGCGTTCTGAGGCACGGAGAGGCAACTGCCTCCCTTGGCAAGCCCTTCCTGTATGGGGGGGGGGGGGGGGGTTTGGGCAGGGCGTCGGCTCAGAATGACACGGGGCTCCATCCGGTCCCTGGGACCAGTGCAGCTCCCCCCCAGCTTGGTGGGGACACATAAGAGCCTCCTGCCCAAACCCTGCCCACTCCGACCTGCCTGAGACCCAGCAAACTCATGGCGTGCCAGCTGCCGCCCTCTCACCGGCTGCGGGGAGCCCACCTCCGCCAACGTCCCCCCCAGCAGCACCGGGGACAAGGGAGGAACACGCTTTGGGGGGGCTGCAAGAGGAGGGGGCCAGCCGGGCCGGGGAGAGGGGTGGGCGCCGCGGGGTGCTTACTGGGTGATGTCGGCGAGGTCGTCCCTCCCTCGGTAGTTGTCGTAGTGGGTTTGGTGTCAGGAGAGACGGCCAAGCGGGGCATGCCAGGGGGAGGTGGCGGCGCCAGCATCTGCGGGGGCAAGTAGTGGCTGGGCACTTTCACTTGACCACTTCCATTTAACTGGGGATACAACACAGACAGAAAAACAAACAGCACAAGCCATTAGGAAGCATGGGCAGCACCAGCAAAAGCCGGCCTGGGAGGGCCTGGTGCCGGTTGGCACCCGCACAGAGCATCCCTCACTGCTGGCACAAGTTTGATGGGTCTCAGAGCAGCCCTGAACAGTCGGCGCCAGCCACAGGGGAATCATGAAGGGGTGAGAAGCAGGGGGGTCAGGGTGGGCTTTAGAGGGGGGTCCATGTCCCCGACCCCATAGCAGCGCATGCCGGAGCCAGGGTGCTGTGAGGGGATGGGGCACCCCGTGGTGGCATCGAAGGCTCCTGTACCAGCTCCCTCCCTATTCCTGACCCAGTCTCTGCTAGCCCCGGCACTGGCCTGCTGCATGGGGAGAAGAGCAGACGTGCCCCTCACCCTGCCATCAGGCCTCACTGGGTGCTGGGCAGAGCTCAAATGAGCTCCCCCAGACTGTCTGCGGCTGTGGAGCAGAATGTGGGCGCAGGAGGGCAGGGGGTGGGGATGCAGCCACTCCTAGGTCCTGGCTGCAGGCACAAAGGGAGCACAGGGTGGGGGTGCAGGGTGCAGGGTACGTGAGGTGATGGGTGCATGGCATGTTGGGGGCACTGGGTGCTAGGTGTGCAGGATAGTGCGTGTGCTGGGTGCTGGGTGTGTGGGGTGCTAGGTGCACTGGGTGCTGCAGGCACTGGCTGCTGAGTGCACTTTGTGCTTTATGGGGGGTGCTGGATATGTGGAATATGGGGTGCATGGGGTGCTGGATGTGCTGAGTGCTGGGTGTGTGGGGTACTGGGATGAGGGACAGCACACAACAGCTCAGTGTGGCCCTGACACCCAATGGGGACATGGCACAGTGGGGACAGGGGTGACGGGTCATCAGCCAGAACCGGGGCACACAGAGCCCATCAGTTCCCTGGCACGCTGGCAGACGGTGGCTCTTTGGCAATGGTCACATGTCCCCTGCTCCCACAGACACCCCCAGCCCCAGCCAATGGCTCAGCCCCAGAACTCACTGCCCTCTCCCCCCTCCAGCACCAGAGAACCAAGCTATCAACACCGACCAGCTGCAGCCGCACTCCCAAACCAATGCATGGCTGCCCAGCCCTGTCCAACACCCTACCAGGCTGGTTGCTGGCACCAAAGTGCCACCACAGCGCCCTGACCCCCAACTGTGGTGGTGGTGACAGCGACGGAGGCAGACAATCATAAAATCATGGAATGGCTTGTGTTGGAAGGAACCTTAAAGCTCAACCAGATCCAGCCCCCTGCCACAGGCAGGGACACCTTCCACTAGAGCAGGCTGCTCCAAGCCCTGTCCAACCTGGCGTTGAACACTACCAGGGATGGGGCATTCACACATCACCCCATTCAAGGGGATGCAGCAGACCCCAGTGCCCCACCACAATCTCAGTGATGGGATGCAAGGATGAGGCCACATCCTTACCGGTCCGGGCTGCTGGTTGGACGGGTCACAGGCCAGTGAGACGAGATCTTTCAGTGGGTCCTGCGGGTTGAGATGAGGCGGGTACCGAATGGCCGTGTGGGGGAAGTAGGTGGAGGCCGTCTGGGGGAGGATGGAGGTGGTGGGGAAATGCAGTGCAGATGATGGGTGCGGGCTTCGAGCGATACCTGCAGGCGACAATGGGAAGAGGGGGACCCCCAGCGTCACCAGAAGCCAGCTACTGGCCCAGCCCCACACTACTCACCCACTGGCTCCATGCTTTGGTTTCCCTGCTAGGACACTCACCGCTGTGCACTGCGATGACGGGACGGTGGTGCTGTGTGAAGCTGCTCAGCCGGGGCGAGGAGTCCTGGGGTGATGGGCTGTTGAAGGGGGACTTGTCCATCTCTGTCTTCTTCACAGTGGGGGAGATGCCTGAGGCAAAGCAGGGTGCGGTGTCAGAGTCTGGCACCCAGCTCGAGCCTGGGGTGAGGGGCTCCCTGAGGACAGGCTCAGCATGAGTGCACATGTATGTGCACATGAGTGAGGGTGTGCATGGATGTGGGCAGCTCTGTGGGCCTACCACAGGTGTGCACATAAACACGTGTAGCATGTGCAGACACGTGCTCATGCATGGGCATCTGTGTACCTCTGTGCCTGTGTGCACACGTGTGTTTGCATGTGCGGATGTCTACCCAGGGGGCAAAATCGGGGGCTCCCAAAGGTGCCCCAGTGGACCCCTGGGGCTGGGGCTCCGGCAGTGCTGGAAGCTGGGGCAGAGAGGGAGGGGACAGTGGGTGCCTCCCACCCTCCCCCATCACCATGGCTTTAGCTCTGGCCATTTGGCCAAGGCCTGGTAATGGGTTTAGCATCTTCTCAGCTGGTGTTTAGGAGGATTTCCTGGAACATCCCCTATGGGATTGCTGCCCCCTTCCCTCCTGCCCCGGATCAGGCCACCAACAGGGGACAGGAGCACCTCTGCACAGTCCAACCTGCCATGCATACCCCCAGGGAATGCTTTGGGCAGGGTGTGACATCTCTCTGAGGACCCACCCATGGGCACAGTGGTGGTGCAGGATGGGTCACTATCCCCAGCACCTATGGGGCACCCTCCTGGGGCAGGACTCGGTCTCCCCAAATTGCCTCCTGTCCCCCAAAACCAGGCACCCCCCAGGCTCTGGCGGCGCTGGGGTGGGGCTGGGATGGATTCTGTCCCACTGTTTGGGGTGCAGGGAAGCAGGATAAGAGCCAAAGAGGGGGGAAGATGAGCACTCCCTGGCCTGCAAAGGCACCCCGGGGTGTGGGAGCTGCCTTGCCAGCCCCGCAGCATCGATTTAATTAGCCCAGCCCCCCCCCTTTTCTTAATGAACAGCTAATTGGGGCTGTCTAGACAGGAAAGAGGAAAAAAAAAACCAACAGAAAAAATGCCAAGAAAGCAACAGAGCTGCTGCCCGCAGCAGAAGCAGCCGCCGTGGGGCTGGGAGAGCCTGCTGTGGGGCTGGGACACTGGGCTGAGCCTACAGAGAGCCTGTGTCTTGGGGGGGGGATCTACAGCAACCTCATGACCGCTCCAGACAGCTGAGCACCCTAAAGCAACCCCAGGCTCAAAGGGGAGGACAGACAGTAGTGACCTGGCTGCCGGGGCCCCATAGCAGCAGGGGGGCACCTATAGGGAGGCGCCTGTAGGGAAGTCCTTACCCCCTTCCATGTCTTCTGTCCAGTTGCGGCTGCTGCTGGTGGGGGAGTTGGAGGAGGTGTAGTACTCGCCCCCCGGGCTGGTGTCGATGTCGTCCTCCATGGACCCCGACTTGTGCCGTTTGCTCCTGGGTGGGTAGGGGAGGAATCAGCTCCAGCCTGCGGCAGGACACAACCTGTCCTGTGCCTCCACCACAGTGAGATGGGCAGTGGCCCATGGCCAGGCTCGGGTTGACCCTGGCATCACCCCCAGGATCACCCCATCATTGCCTCAGCATCACCCAATACCCCGCCAGCCTGGTCCCAAGATCACGTACCCGCTGGAAGAGGTGCTGGGCAGTGTCCTCCGCATGCCAGTGCTGGAGGGGTTCAGGTCATAGGCCAGGTGGCCCTGGAGCTCCCCAAGAGAGAAGTTTGGACCCGTGCCTGTCACCACCGGTGCTGCAGGGAGAGAGAGGGATCAGGGCATTGGGGGGGTCAGCCCACATCTGGGATGGGGAACAGCTGGGATGCTGCCAGTCCCAGGCAGCTTGGGGGGGCGTTGGTGGCCTGATGGTGGCACTCACTTCGGGACACCTGGATGAGCTCGGTGACGCTGAACACCCCTGAGGTGACAAAGCTTTCCTGGAAGTCCGTGGAATCTGTGCAGGAAGAGAGAAGGGAGCTCTGTGGATGGGGGGCAGGACAGGATAGAACCACCCCTCCTGCTCCACACTGCCTTGCGGTAAAGCTCGAGAGCACGCCAGCGTCCCCAAAGCCACTGTAACGCTGCCCCTTGAGCCCTGCTCTCACCCAGCGTGATGGGTTTGCTGTCCTCCTGGTCCGAGCCAATGCCCGTCCGGGGGCTGCTGCTCTGCTCTGCATCTGCAAGAGGGAAAAATACCACCAGGATGAGGCACCAGTGCAAACTTGGGGTACGCACTGGTTCCCTGCCCTGGCACCCCCCCACTGCTCTGCAGCGTGGGGAAACTGAGGCACGGTCTGGCAGAAGGTCCAGGGCCAAGCTGGCAAGTCCCCAGCCATGAGGGAAGAGCCCCCATAGGCATCCCTCGCTATGGGCAGGAGCGGGGACAGGAACAGGGACACCCTTGTGCTGCCATGAGAGGGGAGCGCACAGCCCTTGTCCTGCCCTGAGGCAGTGGCAGCTGCCTGGCCTTGCTCCTGCCTCCCCTCCTGCCTCCTGCTGCTGCCACCCAGCTCGGGCAGTGCCTCCATTGCCGGGCATGGCCTCTGTCACTGCACAGCCCCTTGTGCTGCCTCCTCCAAGCCCCTCAGAGGGCAGTGGGGCACGGGGCAGCGCCTGCTCCTACTCCTTCAACACCCTTGGAGCTTTAGATATAAAAAAGCTCTCTCAGACGCTGAGATCAGCGGCGCTGGCTCACCCCGGCATGACACAGCACGGCACGGTGCAGCACGGCATGGCCACTGTGCCCTCTGGTTCCTGTGCCATACTGAGAGCATCCTTCCTTCCCAGGGCAGGGCACCCGCCAGCCCCCACATCCCTTTCATGACTTTCTGCCACACGTTTCCCCCTCTCCTCACCCTCCATCCTGCCTCCCCATCCTCCTCCTCCTCCTGCTCCCACCCACTGGCCTCCAGCGTTCCTCTTCCCCAGCTTTGGCTGATGCCGGGAAAGGGCCACGGCCCTGCCAAAACAGCGCGGCCGCAGCTGCCAGCCCTCCCGCTGCGCCTTGCCTGGGCTTTGCCCACTTTGCCCTTTTCTGCCCCGGTTTTCCCTGCCCCTCTCACCCCGTGCCCCCAGCCCCTCACACACACACACTGCGCTCCCACCCCACACCCCGGGGGCTGCTGGACACCAATGCCAAGCGCCGCCATTTTGTCTCCCTCCCCGGTTCCCGAGGCTCCTCCGCCGCTGCTGCCCACACCGGCCTGGCAGCCCCTTCCCCGCTGGCAGCCATCCCACGCTAGTGCCGCAGCCCAGCGCCAGCCAGCCCCATGCCTGCCGTTGCCCATGCCTGTGGCTTCCCCAGGGCAGCCATTTTAGGGAGCAGCGATTTCCGCGGCAGTGCGTCGGGAGGGGTTTCCTCCCAATTCCTTCTCTCCGTTTTCCTTCCCCACCTTGTTCTGAAGGCCGATGCACGCCCGAGTGCATGGGGGGCACAGGCATGGGGTGGCTGCCCACCCCCCCCCGCACTCATGGGCACCACGCGGCCGGACATGGCCCCTCCTCGCCTCTTCCAACAAGAGCCGTGGCGGCAGCTCTGGAAGCCGTTAGCGATGGAGCCAGGCCAAGGCGCAGGCGGCGGCGGCAGCCCCGTGACCTCCCCGACACTGCCTCGGGGTGCCCCGGTCCCTGCTCGCTCCCTGAGGGGGGATCGGGCGTTGGAATCCCACCGAAGCTGGGGGCCTCCACATGGCCCATGGGACCTCCCGTGACCGCTTGTGCTGGGACAGACCCTGCTTGCCCCAAATGCCCCACATGGACCGTTGTTCTCCCCCACATACCCCACATGGCCCCTGCTCACCCCATGACGCCCCACACGGACCTTTCCTCACCCCTGGTTGCCCTTTGCTCTCCCAGGACGGTTGGCACAGCCTTTTACTCCCCCAGAGCCACCCCAGCGTGTCCTCTGTAGCCCCCATGCACCCAACAGGGCCACTCGCTTGCCCTGGGTACCCCCTGGGTGCCCCCCACATCCTTCCACCGCCGTCATCCCCTGACCCTGATCCCGAGGGAGCATCCCCCAAGCTGAGCCCCCTGATTCCAGCCATGGCAGCCCAGGAGCGCCTGGGGGCTCTCAGGACCTCTGAGGTCTGCCAGCAGGGCTGTCCCCTCCTGGCACCCCTCGTGTCCCCACAGATGGAGGGCTGTGGGTGCCAGGAGGGGGGCTGCGGCCTCAGGGCCCCCCATGCTGGGGCTCGGTGATCTTGCCAGCACATTTCTGGCTGCCTCCTCCAAACTCTGCTCTCGCCGCCATGTGAGGGCTGCCTGGGGCCTGCTGGCCCACTCTAAAATGGTGGCCTCCGTCCTCCCACCTCCATGGGATATGTTTTTTGGGAAGACACCCCAAATCCACCACCCAACAAGTGCTTCAGTTGCATTGGGAAGGTGAAAGAAGGCTGGGAGCCCCCCAGCCTCATGGGTGGGGGACAACCTTGCACTCTCTGCACCCCCAAATGATGGGCTGGGGGATGATGGGTTGGGTCCTGATGTCAGACTGCGGGGTTCAGTGCATGGAGGGGCCCAAACAGGTCGATCCCATCTCTGCTGGAAAGAGCAAAGTCTGTGCCCTGAGGCAGGGTGAGGGCTGTCCGCGTTCCCAGCCCCTGGACCGGTGCCACCCATTGAATTATGGATCCCGGCACGGTGCCACCAGCCCCACAGAGACTCTCCCCGGGGCCTCAGCACATGGGAACAGCTCCTGGGCAGGATCTGGGGGTTCGACGCAGGCTGGGTGCCCCCAGGGCCGCTGAAGAGCCCTGGCTCTGTGCCGCAGCACTGATGGGCACAGGGGCTGCTGGCGGGTGCAGGTGCAGCAGCTGGTGGGACCCCCCCTACCCCGGGGAGGGCAGCGGGTTTCCTCCTCCAGCTCTTAGTGAGAGGCCAGGAGAGAGGAGAGGGCTCGGCCCCTGCTGCCTCAGTTACCCTGGGGGCTGGGGCGGGATCCTGCGATGGTGTTAATCCAGGACAGCTCCCCCCTCCATGCCTCTGCCTGGCCCTTCCCTACAGGGAGCATCAGTAGGGCCCAGAAGGATGCTCCTGCTCCCGGTTTCCGAGCGTCTCCAGTCCTGGTCAAGGACTGGAGGCACTTGGAGACCTGAGGGAGCCTGAGTGCTGCTGCGTGGCAGCAGCTGCGGGGGGGTGTCTGTGATTCCCAGTCTCTCCCTGCAAGACCCCCATCACCCCCCACCCCACAGTGGCCCCATGGCCCTTACATAAAACCCGCACCAGTGCCACTTGTGTAAACCTCCTTTAGATAATCCCCAGAGAAACACTCTGTTCCAGCTAAATCCCAGCTCAGCCAGCACGCCGGGAGCACCAGACCCCTCTGCCGTGCTCCCGACAGCCCCCACTTCCCCTCCATCCCCCCTCCTTCCCCGGACGACCGCGGTGCTCCCGGGGCCTGAGATGAGTTTGCAGGGTCTCAGCCCACTCGCAGCCAGCTCCTGCTTCCCACCCTGAGCCCCGGGAAGGTCCTGGCTGCAGATGGCCCCCAGGGTGGCGGGGGGGTCACACCATGCACCCGCTGCCACGTCCCAGCCTGCAGCCGGCCCGGGAGGCTGAGCCAGAGCATTTGTCCTCGGCTGACCCTGGCGGCAGCGGCCGGGGGGGGAACACATGGGGCCTGGTCACCCCCTCGCTCAGCCCTGCCAGGCCTGGGCCTCATCCAGGGCTGCCGGCGCCTGCCGAGCACAGATGGCAGCGAACAAAGGGACAGGAGCAGGATGGACAAAGGGATGGCTGAAACCCCCACATCCTCCGTGAGACACCCCCTCTGGGGTGCTGGCACTTTGTGCCTTTGCCATGGAGAGGGGGGCCTAGGGGTGCAGATGCAGGAGGGGATGAGGGACAGGAAAGGCGGAGAAAGGGAGGGAGGGAAGGGTGAGGAGGGTAACTAGAAAGGGAGGAAGAAATGAAAGTGGAGAGAAAGGGAAAGGGAAAAGGATAAAATGAGAAGAAATGAGGAAGAGAAGGAAGGAAAAAGAACAAAAGAAAGAAGAAAATTAAACCGAGGAAAGAGAAAAAGAGATGACAGGGAGGGAGGGAAGGAAATGGAAGGTAAGGCAGGAGGAAGGCAGGGGGCAGGAGGAAGGAGAAGGGATGTCGGGGGACACCTCAGCTCTTCAGGTGCAGTCAGAGGGTTCCAGGCCTGGCCCTGTGCTGCTGGAACCACTGCCCCTGCCCTGCCCCACGGCACAGCACTGCCCCATGGCATGGCAGGGTCCTACAGCATTCCATTACATGGCTCCACGGCACAGCCCCACGACGCAGCCCTGTGTCATGGCATAGTCCTGCAGCACTACACAGTCCCATGGCACAGCCCCATGGCACAGCCAGCCCCCCCGCAGAGTCCCACAGACCCCCCTCTCTGCCCCCACTGACCGCAGGCATCCCTCCCAGAGCATGGTGGGAATCTCCCTCCCCTTGGCCAAGCTCGGAGGCTGCACAAGGCTGAGGGAGAGGGCAGGAGCAGGTTGAAGGACCCCAAACCCCCAGCTCAGCTCGGGGGCACACTGTCCTCCCAGGTCCTGCAGTGGCATCTGCCACCCCAGCTGTCCCCTGCCAGCGCGGCAGGAGCTGGGCACCCGGCCAGGACAGCAACTGTGGCCATGGGGCAGGCACCGGGGGAGGGAACGGAGGGTGCTGGCACAATGGAGCTCCCTTGTGTTTTACCCACTGGGTGCAGGGAACGCTTTCCCCCCCCAGCCCTAGCACTGTGGACGTGGCACCGGGGCTGAGACATGGAGAACTCGCTTCACTGGTGGCACTGCGGGGAAGCTGCCTGGCTCTGGCTCGGCTCCGGCACAGTGCCGGCCCGGCGCACTGCGGGGAAGCCGGGGAAGCCCTGACCTCCCCAAGGTCACCGGCACACCATCCACAGAGCTACCATGTGCCAAAACCAACCTAGTTGCAGCCACGTCCAGGGCACAGGGATGCTGCAGGGGATGGGGATGGCTGCGGTCACAGCACCCTGGTGAGCCCTTTTCCACCCCACCTCTCCAGGGCAGGGATGCAGCCCCTGTGGATTCCCTGTGGATAATCTTGTGTGTATTGATTTTGGGCCCTGCCTGTAGAGTGGAAATACACAAGAAACCTGGAGAGGGGCTTGGGACAAGGGCCTGTAGGGACAGGCCAAGGGGAATGGCTTGAACCTGCCCGAGGGGAGACTGAGCTGAGCTCTGAGGCAGAAGCTCTTCCCTGTGAGGGTGCTGAGGCGCTGGCACAGGGTGCCCAGAGAAGCTGTGGCTGCCCCATCCCTGGCAGTGCTCAAGGCCAGGTTGGACACAGGGGCTTGGAGCAAGCTGCTCCAGTGGAAGGGGTCCCTGCCCTGGCAGGGGGTTGTGACTTGCATGATCTTTAAGGTCCCTTCCAACCAAGTACAGTGCACCCCATCAATCTCTTTGTGCTCCTGCCCATAAATACTGGCTTGGGGGGCTGGCAGAACAGCGCTGCTGGAGGGAATTCCTGCCCTTCCATCTGGAGGGACCACGCAGACGCTTGGCACATCCGGACCCAAAGCCCTGGCACGGGCTCCCTGGCAGATTGGTGCCATCTGCCTCAGCAAGGCTGGTGAGGGGAGATAAGGGGCTGCCAAGGCAGGGGGACGCAGATGCTGGCAGCATGGTGGAGGTCCCTGCCTCCCCCTGGTGCCATCCACACAGCGTCAGGGCCAGCAGCGATGCCACCCTGGGACCTGCCACCTACTCACCCCGAGTACCCATCTGCTCCCACTCTAGGCACTACCAGGGGGAGCTTACTTCAGGGCAGAGCCTTGTCCCCAAACCCCCTTCAGCTGCGGGGTCCCCACCAGCTCTAGAGCACCCCAAAGAGTGGGAGGGGACACCACTGAGCCCAGCCAGCCTCTTTACAGCTCCTGCTGCCCCCCAGCTGGATCAGGATTAGGATTCAAGAATGAAGATGCAGGGATGGAGATGCAGGGATGGGTGTTTAGGGATGGGTGTTTAGGGATGGGTGTTTAGGGATGGGTGTTTAGGGATGGGGTGCCGGGATAGGGGCACACGGGTGCAGGGAGGGGGACACTGGACCCCCAGCTTGGCTGTGGTCGCTGGGAGGGATCTGCCTCTCCCGAGGTCCCGGCACATGGAGCGACTCCATCGATCCCCGGTTACTGCAGTGACTTTCACCAGCGACCTCCGAGCTCCCCCCGCAACCCCCACTGCAGCGCCCGCCCCGCCCCCACTGCGGTGTGCACGGCCCAGCCCCACACCGGCCCCGCACCAGCCTGCTCCCATCCTGCACCCAGCCCCAGCCCCGCACCGTCTTCACCCATCCTGCACCCAGCCCTGCACCGTCTGCACCCATCCTGCACCCAGCCCCAGCCCCGCACCGTCTGCTCCCATCCTGCACCCAGCCCCAGCCCCGCACCGTCTTCACCCATCCTGCACCCAGCCCCAGCCCCGCACCGTCTTCACCCATCCTGCACCCAGCCCCGCACCGTCTGCACCCATCCTGCACCCAGCCCCAGCCCCGCACCGTCTGCTCCCATCCTGCACCCAGCCCCGCACCGTCTGCACCCATCCTGCACCCAGCCCCAGCCCCGCACAGTCTGCTCCCATCCTTCACCCAGCCCTGCACTGTCTGCACCTATCCTGCACCCATCCTGCACTATGCTGCATCATCCTGCATCGAGCCTGCATCATCCTGCTCCCAGCCTGCACACACCTTGCACTGTCCTGCACCATCCTGCACCATCCTGCACCCATCCTGCACTATGCTGCATCATCCTGCATCGAGCCTGCATCATCCTGCTCCCAGCCTGCACACACCTTGCACTGTCCTGCACCATCCTGCACCATCCTGCATCATCCTACACCCATCTTGAACTGTCCTGCACCATCCTGCATCCAGCCTGCATCATCCTGCACCTATCTTGAACTGTCCTGCACCATCCTGCTCCCAGCCTGCACTTATCTTGCACCATCCTTGCCCCAGACTGCACCATCCTGCATCATCCTGTACCATCCTGCTCCCAGACTGCACCATCCTGCATCATCCTGCACCATCCTGCTCCCAGCCTGCACTTATCTTGCACCATCCTTGCCCCAGACTGCACCATCCTGCATCATCCTGTACCATCCTGCTCCCAGACTGCACCATCCTGCATCATCCTGCACCATCCTGCTCCCAGCCTGCACTTATCTTGCACCATCCTTGCCCCAGACTGCACCATCCTGCATCATCCTGTACCATCCTGCTCCCAGACTGCACCATCCTGCATCATCCTGTACCATCCTGCTCCCAGCCTGCACTTATCTTGCACCATCCTTGCCCCAGACTGCACCATCCTGCATCATCCTGTACCATCCTGCTCCCAGACTGCACCATCCTGCATCATCCTGCACCATCCTGCTCCCAGCCTGCACTTATCTTGCACCATCCTTGCCCCAGACTGCACCATCCTGCACCATCCTGCTCTCCGCCTGCACCATCCTGCTCTCCGCCTGCACCATCCTGCTCTCCGCCTGCACCCATCCCGCACTCAGCGTCCCGGAGCCTTTCCCCAACCAGGCTCTGCTCATTCCTTACTTTCCCCCGTGGGTCTTTCCCCCAGACGAGCGGGGGAAGCAGAGCGGAGCTCCCCCCGCCCCGGCGCTGCCAGAGCAGCAGCAGCAGCAGCAGCAGCAGCAGCAGCGGGGAATTTGTGCTGACCTCAGCAGAAGGCGCCTGGCCCAAAACCACGTGTGCACCCGCACCAGGGGGGCCGTGGGGAGCTCGAGCGGCCCGGCCGGGGGGGGGGGGGGGCACATCCTCTCGGTCACCCCCGTCACACCCCTGGAGCTGGGGATGCTGCGGGGGGCGGCGAGGGGGGGGGAAGCTGTAGGGTGTGATGTGCAAAGGGGAGAAAGCAGTATGGGAGCAGGATGGGTGCAGGGATGAGAGCAGGATGGGTGCTGCTGCCTGGTCCCGGGCTCCCTTAACTGGGACCCGGAGCGACCTTAACAGGGCAAGCAGGAGTCTTATCGGAGTATTTACAGTCCCATGTTCCCAACTGGAACTCAGGTGACCGCAGGCACTGGGGACAAGGTCGCTGCTAGGGGGTGGCAGAGGAGTACCCACCTCCCTGGGGACACCCATCGGCAATGGCATCCCAATGCAGTGTGGGGGACCTCAGCGTGGCTGCCATGGGGGTCCTGATCCCTGCTGCCAGCACAGCCACGGCAGGGCTCCCACTTCAGCCCAGTCTAGTCCAGGATGCCCCCAGGCCAGCCCAGTGTGCAGCACCCCATCCCAGCCAATATGGGGTGCCCCCAGCACAGCATACTGCATCTCAGTTACACCCTGGGGCTTAACTGGATGGATCTCAAACCCATTTCAGGCCAGCCCATGCCAGAAAGTGTGGCTGGGCAGGCAGATCCTGGTGGCACACACAGCTCTATCTGAGGGGACCCCCAAGCAGGTGAAGGCCAGGGGAGCAGCAATCCCTTGGTGCACAGCAGGAGCTGCTGGTGTTTGGGGTTTGCCCCAGCTGGAGTTATCATTGCTCCTGTCCCCACCTTGGTCACCCACTGGATGAGGGACCGTTACCACAACCCACAGCAACCTGGCACTGCTGGATGCTCCCAGCCCCAGCTCTTGGGCACACCAGGAACAGGCTGTTACTGGGCTGCTGGCACAGGCAGTGTGGGATGGGGGATGAGCCCCCCAGATCCCCTTTTGGGGATACCCAGAGCCAGGAGCATCCTTGGGGACCACTCACTTCCCCTTCCTGGCACATGAACCTCCCCCTGGGGGCTGGCTCCATGGGGACTCAACCTGGCTCTGACCCACAGGCAGACAAGCACCCACCTCTCTCGCGGACGAAGTAAGCCAGGTAGAGGTCCAGCTCCTTGACAGAGACACTGATGTGGTGGGGCTGGACGCAGAGGATGGGGTTGGTGCACTGGCCTGACTTGACCAGGCGCTCGCCGTCAGTGCTCTCCAGTGGGATCCCTTTGAAGAGGATGACCATGACCAGGTCCAGCCGCCACACCTTGTCTGCCTGCCGCAGGCAGTCGATGCGGCGCATCTTCCCCTTCTGGTCAGGGTTGGAGAGGACGCAGCATGAGGGCTTCTTGCCGGTGATGGAGAGCACAAAATCCTCGCGGCACTCGGGACGGATGTCCTTGCGCAGCTTGGCCAGGAGGCGCGAAGCCCATTTCTGTTTCACCTCTGGCTTCTCACTCAGCAGCTCATCCTTCACCGCCCTCTCCTCGTCCTTTGTCATCCTCTTCTCATGCTTCTTGAAGTACTTGCGCTTGCGGGCCTGCAGGTTGAACCATGTGTAGGCGAAGGCCCGGACATGGGGGAGCAGAGCCTCAATGAAGGGGTGGAACTCATCCTGTGGGGCAGAGGGATGAGTGGTCACTGGAGAGAGACTTTGGATAACGGCCTGTAGGGGCAGGGCAAGGGGAATGGCTTGAACCTGCCCGAGGGGAGACTGAGCTGAGCTCTTAGGCAGAAGCTCTTCCCTGTGAGGGTGCTGAGGCGCTGGCACAGGGTGCCCAGAGAAGCTGTGGCTGCCCCATCCCTGGCAGTGCTCAAGGCCAGGTTGGACACAGGGGCTTGGAGCAAGCTGCTGCAGTGGAAGGGGTCCCTGTCCATGGCAGGGGGTTGTGACTTGAATGATCTTTAAGGTCCCTTCCAACACAAACCAGTCTGGGATTCTATGATCTGATCCTGACAGACACAGCAACCCTACCTGCCATCGTGCCTGCTGGAGCCACCACTCCAGCAATGGTCAGACACTGCCAGCCCACAGCATCCAAGGCACCCACGTCCCACACCCCGGCTTCCCCTGCACCAGTGCGAAGTTCCCTCAGTTTGCCCCAGTTGCAGCCATGTTCCAACTGCCTTTCCCGTGTGTGAGTGCTGCGGGATGGGTCCAGCCCCGGGAGAAAACAAGAAATTGCATCCCCAAGGTGTCCATGAGCTGCAGCCAGGGGAGGACCCAGAGCTCAGCAGGGGATCGGGCAAACAGCTCTGGACACCGCACTGGTCCCACTCATCTTAGGGCAGCAATGCCATTCCCTGGCTGCAGCAGCTGTGTCCCAAAGTGACCCTGCTGGGAGGGAACAGTGTCTCCTGGAGCAGGCTCCCTGCAGGGATTAACCCCGTATGGACCCTGATAACTCCCACTTGGTCCCAAGTCCAGCACAGACCCACTAACCCCAAACCAGCTCCCGCACAGCCTCAGACCTGCTTCCTTGGCACAGACCTTGCTGTGACCTGGCACAGACCCGCCAGCACAGCTCCCACTATCCCCTGAACCCAGCACAGACACCAAGAACTGCACCATCAGTCACCAGCACGGCCTCCCCAAACCCACCAAAAGTCCCCTCAAGCACAGACCTGCTGACAGCCCCTGCTCTGGACCCAGTCTCACCAGAGCTGTGACCCCATGGGTGTCTCCCCATAGTCCAGCAGGGACCCCTCTTGCTGGGGAGCCCATCCCACCCATGGAGACCCAACTCTGCTGGGGGATGCAGACCCCTCCTGACCCTGGGGACCCATCCTGCTAGGGGACCGCATCACCAGTGGCTGCCCACAGGGCAGCTACAGCCCCCCACCACACCAGGTCTGGTTCCCTCCCCAGCAGCAGCCACTAATTCAGTGCAGCTGGGCAAGGGCTGGGCATGTGGCTTAAATTAGGGAAGAAGGTCAAACAAAAGTAAGACAGGAGCTGAAAAAAGCAGCAGCCTGCTCCAAGGCCAGCCCTTGGCTGGGGCAGTGGGCAGCTCATCGTCCTTGGTGGCCACTTATTCCAAAGAGCCCAACAAATTGCTGCCACCCCCCAAAAGCCCGCTGTGTGCAGAAGCTCCATCAAGCCCTCAGTGCCTCCTGAAGTCCTCCCTGTACCCAGGGTCACAGCAAGACGGGAGCTGCCCCAAAGCCCATCAGCCCCTTGGCAACTTTCCCTCCAGCTTATCCTGCTCTCCGAGTTAAGCTGCTCGAGTGGGGTTAGGCGCAGGCAGGCAGGGGCACCGGGTGGGTGGGATGGCTACAGCTGAGGGGGACAAACTGAAAGACCTGGGGTCCATCCCCATGCTCTGCACGCAGCACAGAGCACTGGCAGATGGCCAGAGGGCTGGTTAAGTGCTTCTGCTGTTTTTCCTTTGCGGGACTGGAAAGCAGAGACGTGCTGCAATACCCCAGACAAGGCTGGTCCTGGGGCATTTCCGGATGGGAATCTGGCATCAGAGCCTGTGCTTGGGCCTCATCCAGCCTGGGCTTGTAAGAAAGAGCATGCCCACGTTGGGGTGCTGCCAGCCCCAGCACAGGAACCCTCTTGTTTCCCCCTTCCAGGGAGAGCGCTGGCTTTCTGCACCAGGTGCAGTGAGGGGAAACTGAGGCATGGGTCAAGCCTGGCTCTGTGGAGCTGGGCATGCTGTGCCAGGACTAACTGGGCTTTAGCAGCACCCCAGAGGTGCTGTGGGCCTCTCTCCATGCCCATCACTGCCAGCTCTTCCTCCAGCTGCCTGGCAGGTGCTTTCCACCCTGCCATGGTGTGGGATGCTCTGTGCCACACAGGGACACTGCAGCATGGGCTTGATGGGGCCCTGAGCATCCTCCACTTGAGGGCCGTGTCCAAACAAGTCAGGCTTGGCGAAACAGCCTGAATTTTCCAATGAAAAAACCAAAACACTTCCTCAGGAAATTCCCGAGCAGATTTCACGGGAGGAGGGGGAGGAGGACAGGAGGGGTCACTTACTTTGTCAGCAGGTTTTGTTCTCCACCGCATGGCCGTGGGGAGGAGCGGGTCGGTGTCCCTGCGGCACGCAGGGAGCAGTGCAGAGCCCTGTGTGATGAAGGGGTGTGGAGGGGCCCCAGCAGGCTCCACACACCCCAGCACCGCTGCCAGGTCCCGCTCCCTGTGGCCACACCAACCCGGGCAGGGTTGCACGCTCAGCACCAGGCACTGTGCCCCCATGGGAAGCTTTGGCATGGTGGCAGAGGGGGGATGTAGCTGGAGAGATTCCAGTAATCCCCAAAATCCTCAAATCCTGGTGCCCAAAAGGCACACATTGAGGATTTGCTCCTTGCCCCAGCCTCAGTTTCCCTTCACCAAAGGCTTCGGGTGCCGTTGGCATGGATGAAACTCTGGTATGGCCCCTGCAAAGCCTCCAGGAGCCACTTCTTAACTGTCTGCCAAAGCGGCTCCGGGTAATAAGTTAACCTGGGAATGAGACCTGTTGCCGAGACAGATGCCAGTGATTGGGAAGTGCTCATTAGAGGGGATGGAAGGAGGCACTTAGGCCCTGAAACGCACCCAGCCCTTCCCGGGGCCAGCCCTGCACTCTATTAGAGCCCATTTTACAATAATTGCTCCAGAGGAGGAAATCTCTTTGGATTCATCATAAAGTATTTATTCACAAGAGCTGCAGCCAGGCTTCCCGGCCAGCTCAGCACATCCCCAAGAGGCTTCCCCAACCCTGGAGAGCAGCACTGACATGCTGGTAGTGGGGGAAACTGTGGCACATGGCAACAGGAGGAATCCCAGGAACACAGCTGGGGATGGGACAAGCCTCTGCACACCCAGCCCTATAGTGGAGCTGCTGTGAGGCAGAACACGTTGCTGTGGTGTGGAGGTGAAGGCGGGACATGATGCAACCACCCCATGGCTCCTCTCCCCAAAACACCCATTTTTTTTTGTGCCCCCCTCTCCCCTGAAGCTGAGCATCCTCCAGCCAACATCCATGTGGGGCTTCAGGCTGGACCATACCCACAGCATGCTCTGGATGCACCCACCCTGTTGCTGGGAGGGTCAGCCAGGATGGATGCAAGCCCTTGTGCTTCATTTACTGCCTTCATGGATCAGGCTGTGATGGGCTTGTAATAAAGTACCTGGTGCTTGCCACGTGTGTGGGTCTCTTTTTGGTCCTGGGAGCCTTTTGGGCTCCCCATTCCTGGTGCTGCCCACAACCACCCCACCGGGTCCTCTGCTGCCCTGTGGGCGCCAGGAGCACCAGGTGCTGGGCCAGTGCCGACATGCTGGCACTTGGGAGTGGGGAGCACGCCGAAGCCGCAGGTCACGGAAGGCCGTCCAGGCAGTTTGCTTAGAAAACAGCAGGAAGAAAAGCAGCTCTCTTCAGGTGCCAAGCACTGCCTGGGCCTGCACCACCAAGCACAGCCTCTCCTCTCCTGGGGGAGGGAAGCTCTGCCCCCATCACCCCGCCTCTGGTCTGTACCCCCACCTCCAACAAGCGGTGTCGCTGGTCCCTCCCCGGCTTTGCTAAATACACCCCAAACTAGGAAGTGCTGTACCCGGGGTATGGGATACCCCAGTGGTGGTAGCCTGTGGAGGAAGGGATGAAGGGATAGATGGATGGATGGATGGGTGGAGCTGGGTGAGTGGTGCTGGGAGCACTGCTTTCCTGGAGATCCCTCTGGTACCTCACTTTCCCCATGTGCTGTCCCTGCTCATCCCCCTCTGAATGCGGGAGCCAACAGCTCAGCCACTCCCCCGGGCTGCCCCCAAGATTTGCTTTCAAAGATGGGGAAACTGAGGCACGGCACCACTGCAGGAGAAGAGGGATGCGACAGCAGCGGATAGGATCTGGGAAAAGCCTCACAAGCAGCACAAAAGGAGCATGGAGGGAATCCGGCCCACGGCCAAGGAGACATTCCCTCCACCCCGGGAAGGATCCCATGGTCCGCAGCGCTGGGGGCACGTGGCTTCCCAGCTGACCCCCCCGGGTCTCCGAGGAAGGGAAATGTTTCATGGAACCGGAAAAAAAAAAAGCAGCTTTGCCAACAGTCCCCAGTGCTGCCAGCTCCTCCACCCGGCCCTATGTCAGTGTGGGGCTGAGGGCGCCCCACTGCCCCCCACCCTGCACACGGTGGCTATGGGGGTACCCCACACCCATCCCAGCCTGGGAGCCGCCCCCAAGATGTGGCACCAGGGTCGGTGGCAGCTTGCACCCCCAGGAGCACAGTGAGAAACTGAGGCAGGAGACACCCTGGCTCAGCATCACTCCCCAGCACTCAGGGACCCCTCAGGCCCCGCAAGGCCAAGCCCAACGCTCTAAGCCCAGCTTTAGCCCCTGACACAGGGGGTTTTATTTCCCTCCCAACATATTTTTAGCCCTCCCTGCTTGTCCTGGCCTTTCCAAGGGAGAGCAATTCCTCCCAACACACCTCCATCACACACCATTAAAGGTGGTGATGCAGACAGGGGTCCCCAGTTCCCTCACAGGGGGTGGCCGTTGGGGGAAGGGGAAGACCCAGGGGGTGCCTCTGCACCCTGTGATGGGCTCCCCGTGCTCACCCCACTGCAAATCCAATCCCTGGCAGGTTGGATCAAGTCACCAGTTAAAAATAACCCCGGCCTTTCCCTGAGGA